ACTTTTATATAAAATATGTGCATAAACCCACACTGTGTTTAAAGACTAATCATGCTTTTAAATCCATCTAGTGCAATACTTTGGGACAAATTCAGTTCAGAAAACATCATAGAAAACTGAGAAATCTCAACGGGCTGTAAAATATGACCCAAACAGAATAAAAAGATATATTTGGGAGAGACTAGATTAAACTTTKCTGCACTTCTAGAAACTAGTACACAACAAAATGTATTTAAAGATGTGGATTTTRCAGAAGTCCCCAGAGACCATTTAAAGGTCTTCTGAAGAGATAATGATAAGAAAATAATTAAGTTTAACAATAAACTAAAGTCAGAATCTCCATCAGGCAGTCTGGAGGACAGGGACTGGATTGTTTTTGTTCGACAACTGACTTTGTGAATCTGGGCTGAGTTTTCTACTTAAGTACAGCAGCAAAGTATTTGTACTTAGTTACTTTGCACCTAACAATCCTTTGTCATTTCTAGGATCAAATTGGTTTGTTTTATTACAAAATCAGTATTTTTTTTAACAATTTCTGAATTGAGTAGACAAGTATTTAAAGAGACTAAACAAACAAAATAAAGACATTTATGAAATAAACAGTTAATTAAAGTCTATGGACAAACTCCATCTGGAACTTTAAATGGCAGCAGCAACAATATGACTTCAGGTACAACAGGGGTTAAAGTTCAAGAAGATTTTCATCATGTTTATGTGTCAAAATAAGTTTAATGTACCCACAAGGCAGAGTTTATCTGACCCACACAATACACTGCGGCCCACCTATGGTTTGCCAGAGGAGGTGCATGCATGGGTCAGCACAACAGGTGGTGTCTTTTTAAAAAGTCTTGGGCTTGCCCTTGCATCTAGCAGGGTTAACCAAGCCACAGGCAGCCGSAGCATCTGGCCAGGCTGTCCTGGTACCTGGTAGGGTCTGGCACCAGGTCCCGTTGATCCAAACTGAAAGTTTCTTCGTGCTGAACTGAAGCAACAGATCAGGACAGGAACGAAAAGCTGGAGAGAAGCGATTTCTAAAACAACACAGGTGTCATGAGCTGATGGAGTGTGGACAGATGCAGATTTAGCATCTTGGACAGGAGGTGGATCTGAAGACCTGGATCAACCTGAAGACCCCCGCACTAAAAACTAAACAGATCTGATGTGTTGTTTTGATGGGGGTGGGCTGTGMGAGCACTTGGAAAACAAACGTGAGGTTTATTTTTACTAGAAATCTTGAACAATTGTTTTGTTTTTACAAAATGTTTTAATATTTATTCAAATTTTTTAACGGCAGGTCATCAACAGAGGAAACCTCCTTTAGATAAGTAATTATTTTAAAAGAAATGCTTATAAAATCCTGTTTATTTACAAAGTGTAAGGTTAATATAGTTTTATTTTCTGGGGGGATGCTAACATTTAAAATCTAAAGGTAAGAATGTTTTAATAGAAATTATATGAACATTGTAGATACTTATTTATGAAATGAACTCATATTTATTATTTCCTTTTATTTGCAGGTCTCAGTGGGTGGAGACCTCCCTAAGATAAGTACCTTTTTAAAAGACATGTTGAATAAGTTCTAGTTTTTACAAATGTTCTGGAT